AGACACTGGGAAAACATAATTTCAACTTTCAACATAATTCTTTCTGGTTCTTGGTTTCTGTTCATTTTTCTGCCATCTTCTCCTTCTCCCACTTTTATTCAAAAGAAGAACTGAAAACCTAATTCATAATACATGGTAAGAGCCAAACTATGACACAAGATTTGTGTAAGTCTTCTTAGAAACATTCTTCTTTTAGTCAGCTGGTAGAGCTATGATCAGATTGTGTGAGGCATCTTCATCATGCAACTTCTTTTCTATGGGTCTATGTAGATCATCAGACAATCAGTAGGGTTTGATTAAGTCCATTCTAGTATGTGATCATCAGCTACAGGTAGAGAAGATAGATGGTCAGTGCTAGCTGAGGTTTAGGATGAGAATTCCTCATTTAGTAACTGCTTAACAGTTTAAATTTCTCTTTGGTTTATGATTCTATGAATTATGTCTTTCAGAGGCATCTAGTAATTTCTTAGGATCCTGTTGCTTAGGCCAGATCAGCCAGTACAGAGGAATCCTTGCATCATTAGCACCCTCAAACTTAGCTATTAGCTTACACAACTTTTTATTAGAATATTAGCTACCCTTCAGCTCAGACACTGTGGTTGACAACTGAAACGGGAATCAGTTTTGTTTGTAATTTTGGTATTACCATCATGTTCTTTGGTAAGCTTCCAAAGAGAAAGGTTGTTTTAGATACAACATATAAAAATAATGCTTCCAACAGTAAAAGTGGGTTTAGGCAGCTATTATGAACAGTTCATCATTAGCAGAGCCATCAGTATATTGTCTCTGAAATATTCATTTATCTGAATAAGACTTCTAATTTAAGAGGTTTTTATATGCTTATATATATTTGAGTGATTTCTAGGAAGAAAAAATACAGGGAAGGCTTTCAAGAGAGTAAAATATGAACTTCTTTTAATATTAAAAAAAAAAAGTTGTATGGAGCTGCTGAAGATCTGCTGTCCTCAGATGTACAATGTAGACTGCATTCTAAATATGTTGCTAAAAAGGGTCTAAAAATTTTGTGAATTTCAGATCTAGAATTCATTTCAGAGCAATGTTTGAAATACTACGTTTTGAAAGTTTGTTTAAACTCAACCAACCACACTCTATACTAGAGCACTGGGGCATCCTTATCTAATGGATTATTACCAACCTCCTAGGGACTCACTGGCATGAAAGACACTATATAAGCTCAGAGGGATTTTTTTTTTCTTGCCCTATGTGTAGTTTAGATGTCATTTGCGGTTACTGTGTATTGCTAGTTTACTTCAAAAGAATACTGATTGACGCCTCAGGAAAAGATCGAGCTATGTGCTGAAAAGAGGTGAGAGAATAAAGTACTTTGCTGTTCTACTGAGATACATCTGTGCTGGTTGCCAAATACTCATTCTTAGTTTGAATTCAAAATTGATCCTTTTAGCCTGTAGAAATAAGAGCAAAGTTAGGTCATGTTTGTTTAAATATTTGGTGGGTTTAATAAAATAATTAAAAAATGTTTTACTTCCATCAATAGTCAGAAAAAGAAAAATCTGTTCATTCATCTGGAAAGAGGGGAGCTTGTACAACCATCTTTGCTTTTTGAGAATACAGACCAGAATATAACTGTTCTCAAATGTCTCCTGAGACTAACTGTAAAAAGAAAAGGGTGCTTCACAGTCCTCCACAGCTGAAAAATGATTTTCTAAGCTATGGTGCTTTGCCTTTTAAAGTCTGTTGCAGGTGCTTTCAAAATAATAAAAAAACCCAAAACCAAAACAAAACCAAACCACAAAAACACCACAAAACCAAAACAAAACTAAAAGCAAAACCAACAGCATGGCTAAGATTGTCATACATAGCCAGAAACTTTTGATTGTTCATTATTTGGGTGGTTTAAGCCCTTTAAGAAGACCTGAATATCAAACCTGCCCTCAACAACTTCTGAAAAATTGACTACTTCAGGTTGGCACCAAATTACCAAACATATCATATTTTGAAGTCATCACCTGTGTTAAGTGCTAAAATTTTAGGGGTCTTTTCTTGTTTTACATTGTTGTAGAAGTGCGACTTTTCTTGAAAAGAAAATGCATTTCCTATTGTTGAATATCAAACAGTTCTATCACCAAGACCAAAGACAGTCACAGTGCTTTTGACTGTACTACTCTCTAAGGCTGCTAGAGTGCCCAGCCTGATGTTCAACTGTTACATGGGTCCTAATGAAGTTACATGGCTTCCAAAAAGTGTAGTCATCATTCTTGCGTCAAACACTTGCCTTCCCTGTTGCCAGACTTCAGATGTAAAGTTTTAAAGAGAAAAATAGCCTAAAGGTCTGGAGATTCTATTTCCCAAACTCTTTGGCAAAGATGCGATTAGGATGTTTATATGTTGCCTAACATTAGTGTTTGAAAAGTTAATTATTTCTGCGAATTCCAATTCTTAATTAACCTGAAAAAAACAGACCTACCAAGGTGTCAGAGAGCTTGGTGGTGGTGGTGGTTTTAAGATGTAATGACTATAAAAACCCCATGTAACATAAACTGCATTCTCAACCACCCTCATAGTTTAAAAGTTAAACCCTAGGCCTGTACAAAACAAAAATGAATGAGGCAAAATGCTCATTGACTTAAATTACACTAATATAATTTATTTTAAATTCAGTTTTGGCAATATTTTCCTTTGAGTTGTTTAGTTATGTGTTATTTGTGGTGTATAGCAGGTAAGCACATTTTGGGACTTCAGAAATCCAGGTCAGTTTTCCCTCCTTCTGTGATTTTCCATCCTTCTGTTCAGTTCTTTGCAATTGTCACCTGTTGCGTTCAAACATGAGGTGCCTAGATGCAAATGGTATATAGCTTCAAAGGAACCTCCATAGTTCAAGCTCCTTCAAAAACTCCTTTGGGCACCTTTCTGCAAATCATTACAGCCTAAGTATGGCTTTAGAAATCAAACTTTAGGGCCCTTGGCTTGAAAGGAATAGCCTAAGCACAAAAATATTTATATTTTCATATCAACATGTGCTATTGGAACCAACTGTTGGTAATTTTTTGCTCTTTAAAAACAAAACAAAACAAAATGCACCAAACCACCCTAAATTATAAGATCTTTTTAGTGCAAAAATTGTCCAGATATTTATTCAGAATTTGCTATATGTTGTGTATTTCATATGATGGAAAAACACATTGATACTTTCAACATAAATTATGGCTCTAAAATATATTAAAGTATGTTGTCCTAATAGATGATGACTTCTATGAAAAAAATGAATGAAAGAACTTGAGGGCTTTATTTAGATTCAGACTGTTATTGCAAATGATGCTGTGAATTTATTTATTTTTTTATAACCTTCAGCAATAGAAGATTATTGTGATAAATGATCATATCACTGCAATATACACACTTAAACATTTCCATATCTGGCACCTAATAGGCACTTCTTGAAGGCTTCAGTAGGCTCCTTAGCCAGATAATGTGGCTGAAAGCTGCCTCGTGATTAATTTCATCTAAATGTGGTAATTATCATACTTTGAAGTAATGCCTGCAAAACATGCTTTCACAGAGAGTTAGTGGAAGCAGAGGATTAACCTAGAAACATTTCAGTTCAGAGCAGCATATCATCCAAATAGAAATGTATTTTCTTCTGAATTTTTCAAGACTTTTTACTAGACTACTTGGCAGTCATTTGCATTACCTTATCTCATATCAAATTCTTCACAGCAATTTAGAGAGCAACAGAAACTGAAGGAACTTTATATTATTGCCAGTAATGGAATGGTATTGGTTTTGCAAACTACTTATTTTGGCAGCATCTACCCTGAAGTATTTCTTGTATTAGTGCTTAAGAGCACAATTAATTTATCATTCACATATGTTGTAGGTAAAAACATTATCCCGTCTGTGTTTTAGGCACACTATAGATTATTAGAGAGGATGTTCATTTCCTTATGGGGACCTATGGGAGTAACTTCTGCTACTGGTCTATGAGTCTCTTTGTTTCCTATCCCACAAGACCTCCATGAGCCTTTCTTAGTAGTACAGATGAGGCTACTGAAAAAGGCATGCAAGGCCTGAAGTATGGTTATAAAAATGGACAATTTTTGTACCCAGCTAAAAGCCCTGAGGTGGAATAGCGCCGAGAATTTTAACGGAGAGGGAAGCTATCACTGAGTATTTCTGCCCACTTACATCTGTTTAGCAAAGATTCTTAATTTTCTCTCAGCAATCAGATAAAGTCCTACAAAAAATGGCACAAAAGTGTCGCCTTAACTAAAGATGAGACTGAACAGCCTAGTTAAGTGTCTCTGATAACCTGCCTGACCATGCTGTGATTTGAAATAGCCAATTTATTTTAACCTTGTTTAGATCAACCAGGGGTGGATATGAGTTCCTTTTCACAAGCCTGAAAGTAATGCATTAGATTGAACTTTAACTGAACATTGGGAAAAGTTTGCAGAAGCAGGGATCTTTCCTCCTGGCTGGTCTGTAGGAATGGCTTGGATTCTCTCTTTCTTCCCTTTTGCTGTAAATCTTCCATTTGTTTTGGTTTGTGGGAAGTATGTGGCAGTTGGAGTTTTGGCTAGGTGTTGTGTGAAGCCTTCCAAACTAAGCCTCAATTGTATGGTTGCAAACAATTGTAGGAAGATAATTCCTTTCATTACATACTTCGGCTTCTAGCGCCTTTTCCCTTGTGTTTCTGCAGCCTGATAATGTGCACATGATGAGCAGCCATGGCACAGCTAGTACATGTCAACCATGATAACTCAATTACATGTTGAAACTCACAGATTACTATACCGAAATTAAACAAAAATTTTCACATTCACACAGGTGTTGTTGTATTTACACTTAAGGTTAAATTAAACTGTACCAGAAAACAAACAGAAGTAAACTGATTTACTGCACCATTCAAATTCACTTTGTGGGAAATAAGCTGTTTCACCTCTAAAGCACACATTGCAGTTTTCTATCTACCTAAAGCTTTCCTAGCTGTTTTTATGCAGATGTGTTTTTTTATCTTACAGGTAAAATGGAAGCTGCTGTGTCCAAAGAACTCAAAAGTAAGATACTACTGTGTCATAGGTTATAATCTCTCTCATATGTCATGTAGTTTCAAACATCATGTTTCAATAGTACAAAATAATAGTTATTGAATTGTTGAAAATACAAAGAAGAAAGTGGCTGCACCATTTATAATTAAAAAATGACATGTTTAGACTTCTGATGCCTCTTACTTTCTAAATCCATTCTTATCCTACTTCTAATTCCACACTCCTTTGTGACTGACGGTTCTGCCTTCCCCTCTTTTCTATCATTGTCTTCAAAAACCTAAGTTTCATGGGGAGATCTCAGCTCCAAATGAGATCTCAGCTAACTATGCTCTCAGTGGCAGCAATTTTGGTAAATGGGATAGGAAGACTGAAGGTACAACAAGGGGACCACCAAATTTATCTTCACAAATGCAAAAAAAACCAGGCCCTGCCTATCCAGTTACTTCAGATTCAGCCAGAGAGACTTCTGAGGCAGAAGAGAGGTAGGGGCTGGGCTGTTCTGTATAAATAACAAAAAACATGCTGTGAGAACATGATATTGTTATCAATGGAACTCTTACACATTCTTTTTCTACAAATTTCCGAGCATCGATGCCTCAACACAGACATAATAGGACAGTTTCACTGGCAGAACTTCATCTTCTCAGATCTGTGTTCTGAAAGTGCAGTATATAAGAAAAATTAGGAAAATTATGGGAATTTGAAATCTCATTCAAATTCATGATTAAAGAATGCAGGCTCCCATCTCCATATATGATCTTTCCTGACCTGTATGGCAGAATAATCCCCCACCATCCCCACTTTTTCAGGAATTTAAAGAAAGATTTCTTTTGATAATCAAGAAAAGCTTATACATTTATTTCCTACTCAAATTTTGCAGAAAGACTGAACAAAAGATTCAATGGACTTACTCTGCAAGTAATGTCCTGTTGGTGAAATAACTGCCTGCCTGCAAGCAGGTCTTAAAGGGTCTATTGATTTGGGCACATGATTCTGCTTGTGGGAAAACTCTCCAGCAGCTGTCACAGCAAAACTTCCCAGCTTTCACAAGGTGCAATTTTCATCTGACATTTATTGATGCACAGTCATTAGCATTCAAACAATGTGTGAATTACAAACTACAAAGCTTATGCTTGCAAAAGAAATTTTAAAACATTTTGAACCTTTGTTTCAATGCTACTGAAAAGTTAAATAAAAAAAGAAATTAAAAGGCTTTGGTTAAACATATCCTTCATTTTAAATTTTTACTTCAATTGAAATAATTTTAGTTGCTCAGAAATTAAATATTTCAAATTAAAATAAAAATCTTGGTAGAAAAAAGAATCCCAGCTTAATGTGTTTTCACGGATGCTACAAAAGAAAAATTAAAAAGTCTCACTGGACAACAAGCTCTAGCCAACAGCTCAGAAGGAAATAAATGCAGGAGTCCTGGAGTTTTGTATTAAGTCCGTCTTGTCACTTGTAGAACATGTGTGTTGGGTGTCCTGCTTCTTCTGCAAGAGCAGGCAGTCAGGAAAGTAACATTAAGTAAATACTTCAAGGTCTTCCACATATTTCCCTGAAGTCGAGGTGAGCACCCCAAGTAATTACAATGCTGTGATAATAAGTTAGGATATAATTGTCTGCTGTAAGCTTTCAAATGGATGGAAACAAAACAATCCCACACATGCAAAATATATTTTGTTTTCATTTTGTTCCAGAAGACAATCTGATTCATCTTTTATGAATTTCTCAAAAGACTGGAGGTGAAGAAATCAAAATTACATTCCCGATTTAGCCATATCATTTTTCTTTGCAATAGTGCAGTGACAGATGCGAAGGATTTGCTAACATATTTGTGGTATTCTGGAATTCAGGTTGTGATTAAAATGATTAATTATTTCCTCTCAAATATGGAAAGGTGAATTGTGAGTTAGAGGATCTTCTAGCTGATATAAGAAATCAGTTATGAAAGTCAATGGAGTTTAGCATACGGGTATTTATTAAATTATTGTGATTTAAATATGGTCTATTTTGGTAGTTGCTGAAGATCAAAGCAGTTAACTAAACACTAGTAAAGAGTAAAGAAATCCAGTAAGCTGGTTAGGTTCTTCTAACCAGGACTGAGATTCTTCAAGTCCCTTTGGGGGTGCACATACCCTTTATCATTTAGGAGCTTCATTCTGCAAGGAAATGTACTGTCTCAGCAAAGAGAAGGTAGTGTAAATGAAAAGATCAAGAACAGATGAAACAGTTTAGGAGCCTGAAAAGTCCTTCTTCTCTGCTAAGAGAACTCAACAGCTGCTCTTTCAAGTGCAGGATCACACATGAAATTGTTGCCATAGGCTGTTTAAGGACCTTCTGCTCTCATAAAATCAAATGCAAATGCTCCCAGACCACAGCTGCTGCTTGAGCAGCATGGCCATGCCCAAACCCCTTGATACCTGCTTTGCTCTGCTTTGCCAGTAGGTAGTGAATTACTGGACAGAAAAGGCTAAAAGAAATTATTCAGTGCCCAATGGCAAGAGTTTGTTATTCCTTCAGATGGCTGTTTTGTTGATGCCTTTGAGCTTATTGAAAGCAACTCAGCTCTTTTCTCTTTGGGAAATACCTTTGTCTAACTCTTCAGTATAAAAAATGCTACAGACTGAACCTCGTTGGAAGCCTTTCCTCAGATTTCTGTTTGAATTTTTGTTTGTTTACTTGTTTTTAAATATCACAATCCATAGTAATTGATTTAATTTGCTCTCTTTTTTCAAGAGCCAGCAAAAGCTCCTGCAGCCAAACCAGCCACCGAAAACCCAGCAGCACCAGGTAAAGGAGTAAAATGTTCATATTCAGTATATTTCTTGTGTTCTTGAATCAGTTTATTGCGTCGTAGCACCATCTGCTGGATTATGCAAAAGCCACTGGTTTGAGGTGTTTTGTCTGCTCTAAGTTATTTTGATAATTTCTATGTGAAATCTCTGCTAAGAAAAAAAGTATTTGCATTGATCTCTAATGTTATGATTGCTTCTTGTCTGTCTATGGCAGCTATGAGGTGTCATATTTGGCCATTCTGCAGGGCTTGAGATACAAAAAAAGAATATGAATGTAAAGACTGATTAAAAAAGCAGTATTCACAGAAATAAATTCCTGTGTGAGGCTGTATTTGAGCCCTTCAGGAAGAGAGTCTGTTTTTACAAAGTTCTGACCTCACAGTAGGCTTTCAAAAATGGAGCTCTTAGATAATCATAAATGTGCACTGAAAAGACAAGCAAACACTTTTTAAACAAAATAATGGCACAAAATCATATCTGAATTTAGATTGGATTGTGTAAATCTGCTATTTTCAATTGATTTCTGATTCCACCTACTACAAAGGCATCTTCAAAAATGTTGCATTTCTGGTTAATTTAGTAAAACACAATATAATGAATAACAACCTGAACATCAGGATATTTGTAGCTTTACTACATTTTAAAATAACTGAGGAAAAAATAGGTGTTCTCATGTGAAAATGTATCAATATAAAAACATAATATTTTTCTGAGACCTATTTATTTATCTAAGATTGTTTTCCAGCTGTCTTTCTCTAATTCAGACCTTTTTGGTAGTCTATTTTTAGAGATTGCTTCCACCAAATAAAGGAATAATAACTTCCAATAGTAAAGGAGATGACTGAAAATTAGCCCAGGATGAATGTAAGCCAGAAACCTCTTTGCTCTACCAAAAAAGGACTTGCAGCCTGGAACTGCAGTCACTATAGGGTATTGTAGGGTGCACAGTACAGCTATACAACGTACTGTGTGAAGCTGGCCTAAGAAGCACCATTTCCCTGTAGATGCTCCCAATCCCTGTCTGCTGTGTTTGTTTGACACTGTGTTCAGTTGTGCTAACGCAACTGGGAGAACAGTGTAAACCACATCATTGCCATGTCTTAGAGCTAAAAACTGCCCTACAAATGCATGTTTGTATGTGTGTGTGTGGCAGGATGTTCAGTCTGGATCACATCAGTAAGTCTGGCTTCACATCTATAGCTGTGTAACTGATAATTTCTTAAAGCAGCTTTGTTGCCAAAATGTGTGATAGTTAGACCCCTAAATGTCTTGACAGTGCACTGCAGAAATCGTTATGTTAGAACCATATGCTTGAAATTAATTCATTCCACCTGTTTGCATCCAATATTTGTGTTCATTTTTGAAAAATATTCCAATGAGTCTTCTTGTTGGCAAGAATGGTGATGACAGTAATCTGCTTAAGATAAAAGAAAGGGGCAAAACTGGCATGGCTTCTTCTGGAAAAATAATATGAGTTTGTCTGTTCTGACACATTTCTAGATACCTAGTTTGCCTTAAAAGTGATAAAAAGCAGCAGACTTTGACTTCTACGTTTTTGTTCCTCCTCCCCAAATGCCACTGTTCTCTGAAAATTAATTTACTCCCATAATAACTCACCATAGCAAAATATTAAATATGCTTGTTTGGCAACATCATAACTAGACTGTTGCCTATTAGTACAGTAAATTAAATGCATTATCCAATTTCATATTTCATTTTCTTCCACATATCTTATTACATTATAACCTGAATCCCAGAATGCCTAGAGCTGAAGGTTTAGTCCTATCAACAGACTGAACAGACTGAGAGCACAGCTGGTCATCTTCCAGTGCTTCTACATCACATATGTTCCTGGTCTTAACGTCACTGGTGAAGCAGATTCTGCCTAATACACTGTGCACTATTTTATCTCCATATATTTAGACAGAGAACGAAAAGAGAGTGAGTGTGGAATTTGGAATCCTAAGAGAGCTTTTGTGCCTGGAAACTGATGGCTGCTCTAGGAAACCAGCCTCAACAAATATCTGTTACTTGATTTTCAAAGGGAATATTTTCAAATGTAGTGTTTTCTCTAACTGGACAAAAAGTCCTTCTCTGGCAACCATCTGAAACTCTGCTGGAGAACATGGTATTTGGCTTTCAAGCAGAATAGCTTCATAGATATATGGAACTGATGTTATTCTGAAGGGAGAAAATGGAGTTGAAGATAATTCATGAGACTATTCTTCCCTTACACTGTCTTATGATGTCCCCATCCTAAACCCCACTGTCATTTCCTCTTCTTTCATCACAGTGCATTGCCTCCCTAGTTGTGTCATCAGGACAGGTCTGAGAGTCACCTAGCCTTACAAAATCTCTTTCTATTGCTTTTTTCTGAGGAGGGACGCAGGTTTCTTTCCTCAGGTACTCTGTGTGAACTGTGCCCAGTGTGCTCTCTAGAGGGTTTCTCAGAGCTAGGAATGTGTGTGCTGAACACCTGCATTATCTGCCATCTTCTGGCATTCTTCCCCGTACCCCCATCCCCATGAAGCCCACCTGGGAAGAGGTCCCACACCATGTTACGTATCGCACCCTGCAGCTCCCATGAATTCAGTGGGCACAGACACATCACACCTCAGCTTGGTAAGTGTTCTGTCCTGTTTCAGCACCGTGAGAAAAACAAGTGCATGGCAGTGCAGGACAAGGCAGGAAGCATAGGCTCCACACAGGGATCATCTGCAGCTGTATTAGCAGAGAGGTGACTGGGATCCCCAGCAGGCAGCAGGGAGCCTCAGTTACACTAAACTCCACACGCTCCCCTTGCTATAGTCAGGGATGAGAACAGTCCTTCCTGTGAGTCTTTCTTATGGGATAATCTCACATTATAGGCAACATTTCTACACCTTGTTTAAACACCAGTGATAGTGCTTTCCCCTGATGATTTGCCTGATTTAAAAATCAAATTTAACTTTTTGACACTGTAAAACTTGACAGTTAGAATTTCCCTGAAATGATCTTGCAATTTTTAATTTAATTTTACAGTATGTTTAACAGATTTTGGACTGACACTTAACTGCCTAATTACAGATTTTTAATGCCTAATTTTTCCCATCTTCCTCTCGATGCACATGCAAAAAAAAAAAAAAAAATTTATTCATTGCTCCCTGTCGGTTCATAGCAGAAACTTTTTTTGAGCACAATTCCCCCTTTGAAAATCAATGAAATTTTGTTCAGGCCAAGAAAGAATAAAATAAGTATGGCAGACAAATAGCCAATTTCTAGGGCTTAGATGTCAGCTGCATACAGTTCTCAAACTGACTCTGTCAGTTGTGATGGAATTATTATTATTTTATTATTCCTCTGATTTTCCTGCTGTTGGTAAGAAGCAGAAAGAAAAAAAAAGAAAAAAAAAAGGACATTATAGGAAATTACATAGGAAATGAGTTCATGAGGTAAGAACAGAATATTAGAACATGGGTTATACCAAAAATCCTGGTCAGAGGATCAGTTTGAAGAGGTTCAGAACACTCTGCCTAATACAGGAAGAACTGCTGGTTCTACTAGCAGTGGGCAGTACTGACTTAACAGAGAAACTATTTTAAATCTTGGTTCAAAGAGAACAACAGCAACTAAAACAGCAACAAGGAAGAATCTTTGTATTTGCCATATGGTATAACCATTGCTATTCTTAAAAAGTCAAAAATAATTCAAAGCTTATGAGACAGCAGATATGCTTTGAATAGAGGAAATGTTTATTAAGGAGCTGGGCTTGGTGGTTGTCTTCTTTTGATCACCTATAGGACACAAGTACATAGAAAGAATGCTAAACCCATGTATATGTTATGCGTTCTTGTGCAAATGTATCGCCTAAGAGAAATCAAAACCTAGTGTAAATTGCATGTTACACACTCCCCATGGAAGTACTTTTGGAAAGATGAAAAGGAGACAAACAGTGTTTCTTTCTTTCTCACTGTATGTGGACATGGCGCTAGTAGAAATTACCACCCTGCAATCTCTTCAGGATATCATGTGCTAGTACCTCTATGCGCCCTCAAATTTCTCTTTACAAACAGCCACTGCCCTCGGTTAACATCTCTGCATGTATTTCTCTGGTACAGGTGTTACCAAGAAAATCTTTTCTGGTAGCTGGAAAAGTCCATTCAGTTTTCTAATCCCTGAAGTTAACCCATTCTCAGGGCTTATTTTCTGGGTTTACAGTTTAACTTTTCAGGGACAAATGATAGAGGTAGGTTATTATGTGTATAAGGACAGGCTTTGCAGTTTATTTCTGGACAAAATAAATTTTTATTCAAGTAGCAGGTGTTTATGTAGTGGTAAACAAAATAATGAAACCCTACCTGTATTAATCCTGCTGCTCAGGGTCCTTAGGTTTAGATCCAGGATCATTCTGTAGTCCTTTTGAATCAAAGAGGCTTTCTTTTCAGTCCCAGTCAGCATCATTCTTCCTCTCTGGGAAGTTAAACATCGTACCTTCTCTGAGTTACTCAGTTTTTTTCTGGTTTTAAATGTAAAGTTGCAGACTTGTCAGTTTTTTTAAGTAGGTGGAAATTATCTGATCTCAGTCCCCAACAACCTACAGAAGGACAGGAGAAACTGGGTCCTGGTCTTCACAAGTTTATCCCAGAGAGCTTTCACTGGCCTTAGTGGAGCCTCACAGCTGCCTCTGCTCCTGGTCTGCCAGGAATGCACTGTACCCTCAGCAGCTAAAACCTTGCTGTTACTGCAGTAGTCCCTCACCCAGATGCTTCTTAGTATCTGCAGGAATCTATTATGTGGATGGAGACAAATTCCACAAATCATTCCAACCCACTGACATTTTCATCCCAGCTCAAGTCTGCAAAAATATTGCAGACTAAGAGGTCTTAAATTGTCTGCAGGATTATGTAAACAGGATCATTACCTAACTCTGAATGGGAAAGGCAAAATGAGTTCTTATATCACAGTAAATGACCTCAAAGGGGAAGAATTTTCCAGTGTTAGAATATTTTACTTTAC